GCTGGGGATTCGAACCCGCCACCTTAGGTGTACGTGGCTGGCGCCTTAGCCGGTTGAGCTATCGGCGCCGAGCCCTTATGTTTTTTTTTTGTTTTACCTCTCTTTAAGAGATTAGGTCTTGCTCTGTTGCTCAGGCTGGAGTGCAGTGGCCTAATCATAGCTCCCTGCAGCCTCCAGTTCCTGGGCTCAAGCAATCTTCTTGCCTCAGCCTCCTGGGACTGCAGGTGTGTGCCATCACCCCTCAGCAATTAAATCTTTTGTGGAGATGGGGTCTCTATGTTGTCCAGGTTGGTTTCAACTCCTAGGCTCCAGTGATCCTCCTATTTTGGCTTCCTGAAGTACTAGGGTTACAAGTGTGAGCCACCATGCTAGGCCTTAGGCCCTTTTCATTAAAGTTCTGCTTTGAACTTCACACTCACAGTAAATGCCATTGTGCCTTTTGTCTAGGCAGGAACCACTGTCTAGGAAAGGGATCAGCTTCTCATGTGAGGCTTAAATCTGTGTCACTGGGTCTGGCTGGAAGTTTGGGGGTTTGTTTGGGAGCTCAGAGAGAGGTGGGAGCCAGGTGGCGTCCATGCAGGGGGGGCTCTCAGGAAGCCTATCCATCAGCAAGGGCAGTCTGGAAAACTCTGACACATGCACACCAGCCCCCTGGGGGAGGAAGTAGGCCATGTAGACTACCGGACAGGACCCTAGCTGTTTCTGACTTAGCCCTTTGTCATCTCATGGGGAGACGAAGCCACAGATGGGGAAGGGGGCTGGCCAGGCCTGGCCCGTGTGCTGCTCTTGACTCCCTGGTTTTCCCATGCTTTCCTAGTCTCAGGCAGCTGGAAACTTCCCAGTGTGTGTGGGGAATTTGAGGAGGGTTTTATCCCGGGGTGCTAGGGCAGCTGGGGTTACCACTACAAAGACGAAAAGTGAAGCCGAGCACCAGCGTGCAGTTGCCACAGGCTTGTGCCCTGGATTTCTGCAGCTGTTGAAACAACTGCTGCTTGAGCCTGTGACACCTGGAAGGGGCAGGGGTCAGGAAGAGATTACCTGAGGGTCCTCCTAGGCTGGGACAGCTGGGGAGGAGGACAGCTGAGCTGGCAGTTTCCTGCCAAGAATAGCCGTGTGGGGTCCCCTTTGACCTAGGAACCCTTCTCTGTGCTCTGAGCAAAGACGGCAGGTAGAAACAGACTCTCATGTGGGCTACAGTTAGCAGAGCTCCCGGAGCCTCCCCTACATGGGCAAATGTTCTAGTGATGGGTACAGGCAGGGAGCTGATGTCTGCCAGTCACCTCCTGCACTTGGCTGAAAGGGAGGGCTCAGAGCCAGGTTGGGCCCCACAGCCCTGTTGACCTGGGCAGGTTTCTACACCTCTGTTTCCTAATCTGCCTGGTGAGAATATAATGTATAAAAAGTGCTCGGTCCACTGGGGGGCCTGCACTTCATAAATGTAGCCACTATTTTACTACTAGTATTAATCTGTGTTTTTTGTTTTTCAATTGGTTTTTTTTTTTTTT